GTAACTGTACTTGCGACATAGTGCCAATGACTACACTGACAACCACTTAAATTGGTAAAATGTCATAGCACTTTGAGAAAGCGAGAATGACGGAGCGTAACCGATCGCAGGAGAACCGCGCGATAACTCCGCTCATACCAAAGTGACGATCAGCAACGCTTAAATAAGTGATTCAAGCAAACTGCACGCCCTTGGTAACGGCGCACTAAGACAGTAAGGTTGTGTTGCGAGGTGTTTAGAAATTTTGGGCATGGGATCACTTGTGGATCACTAGCGCCAGCTGTACAGCGAATGTACATCAATGACAGTGTAAATCGACAGCGGTGTAGGCAGGGTTGACGCGAAGTGATACTGGCTAAAGTATGCGGTTGGTGTATATGGCTCTGACGTCATAATACATCAGCCGGCTGCCTTACCACACATGTACGCGCGCAAGCAAAAAACACTCTGACAGTTTTCACATTGACGCGTAAGCTGGGAGAAAATGAGCATGTACACAGGTGCACATAGTGTTAGCCATTCGGAATAAAGTGAAACGAAGAAAATTCGAGATGAGGAGAGGCGGCACAAGCGGTGGAGACATAAGAGTCCTTAGCTATCAACTTCAGAAGAGGTCTGAGGTACGAGGGGATTTGCTTCTCCTCCTAATCGCCTCATGCAATTCTTTTGATCTCCACGTTCAGCGGCTTGCAAAGCCCGCGTACTGTGGGAGCACTTACGACCCTAGTCTCCGACAAGATTAGATATAAATATGCGTACGTCCAAAGAGAACCGGGCCAGCAGAAAGCTCGAGATAGAAAATGCCATTGGCGAGCGAGAAACTCGATTGAGGCTCTTACGATTGAAAAAGTACGATCGGCCGAAGAGGGACCGGCGCATGGAGCAAGGAAGGGCCGGGGCATGGTGAGGGCGAGCGAGACTGGGGAGCGTGGTGAGGTGGATGGCGGAGGAAGCGGTACAATAAGGCATGGGCGGATAACGACGGGCGGTAAAAAAGGAAAGGGGGCGGGAGGGAGGGGGGGCGGAGGGAGGGAAAGAGGGGGGGGGGGAGGGGGGGGAAGGGAGAGGGGCGGGGGGCCTATGTGGGGGAGAGAGGCGGGCCAAGGGGGGTAGAGTAGTTGTTCGGATGCGGCGGCAATGATAGGCGGAATCGTATGGTCGGGACACAAGGGCTTGGGGAAGCGAGAAGTGCCAGTAGATAGGGGTCGCCGGCAGCGGGCGGATATGGCAGGCGCGCCAAACGGAGGGAGGTGAAACGAGGCGCGGGGAGAGTCCCGCACTTACGAAGGGTCTGGCGGGGGTGCGCGACCGCGCGCAGCGAGGGCGGCGCAGCGACGCGGAACGCACCAAAAGGCCTCGGGGGCTGGCACGAAGCAGGCCATGACGTAAGGGAGAAAGTGAGAAAACGTGGGTGAAGGCGAGGAGGCAGAAGGGATAAACAAAACGGGATGCAGCGGGAAGGATTGCTCTCCGAGAGAAAGCGGTGACCGGGGACCTGGTAGCCCAGCAAAGATGGATAAGCAGGAATAAGAAAACAACGTTCTATTTTATGAGGGCGTCGCGACAAAGTCGTAGAGTGCACGCCCAACAGCCGAACTGACGTCAAATTATTAGTCAAAGGTAACGTGGAGTTGAGAGCAAAAATGGCAGCCTCACAGACTACTCGTCAGCAGTTAACAGGAGGGGATTATGCAGAGAACCCTAGTTACCAATATATATGATTTTCCGTTATCAAGCTTAAATTGTCGTATCTGCACATAGATTATAATCGATTTTAAAAGGAAATTGAGGATAGATTACGAGATTACCTGATGTCTACCTGGGAAAGCGCCATTTTGTTGGTCACTACGTGACTCGTTTTAATGTAGGACTGGTCGCCGGCGTCAAGACTTGCGTCTGCTTTGGCGCTAAAAGAACTGCCTTGGCTAGTACAAATATCTGGCGCAACCAGCTACCGTTTGCGTGGCGAGAAGCGCCTACGCACCGTGATCGCCGATTGTATATCGTGAAGGCACATCAAGTCGACATGAGTGTTGCTACTCTGGCTAAGCGGCAATAACAGTAAGTCGCCGAGTAGTCGAAATTGTAGGCCCAACCTGAAGCGGCCTAAGCTTCCCGATGCAATTCCGTTGACAAATACTCTCCGTCAACTGAGTCAGACTTCTCGGGTAGTCGCTATTATACCATGGCAACGTCTTCGTATGCTGAATCTAGAGCTTCTTGACCTCGCTTATGAACTGGTTGATTCACGCTCTGTGCTGAGTTACCAATAGCTGTTTCAACTGTTTCTATTCTCATCTGCAAACCGTTTTGTTTCTGCTGTCATGTGTTAAATAAGGTTCAAAGGTCGACATGCATTGCCATTGCATATTTTTCACAAAACCAGCGAAAAACTGTCACAAAGAAGTACTTCGATTATAGAGTCATAACTACAGGTTCAAGCAATCCAGCCTGAAGCATGTGGCACACAGTACCTAACGAGCGATCAGAAATTCACACCTCACGGGATTTTCTTTACTACTGATAAGTTTACTAACACTTTCCACAAATAACTATCGTCTTAATATATCTACTGTTAGTCAGACAGCTAACCAAATAAGTGTGGACGTCTTCGGACAAGAGAGCGAGCCAGAGTTCTTCACATAGTTGCACATGGGAGCAAATATTGTGAGGAGAACCACTGCGCGCGAGACTAAGTTATGGCGCCCATCTTGGATATCAACTGCGACAGATGACGAATATCTCGCTTTAAACCAGGCGGTAGACTGCTCAATATTGGTGCTAAATCTAGAGCGAGCGCTGGTCAGAGAATACGAGAGAATCAATTAGAATATTCAAGTGAGGCGGGCCATTAGTACAAACTCTATAAGTCCAAATGATCTCGGCTTATCCAAGCAAGCAGGAGTCCTCCAAATATTGGTGTGCTGAAACATACAGTTTTCTGGGTCAAGAATACAATAAATGCAATTTAGAATGATCAGAGAGCGCGCGCGAAGTCTTTAAATTTCCAACACCGGAAGCGAGTGCCAAACCTAGAAGTAAAGTGAGCGACGGCTCCACGCCAGCTACGACTCTCCAATATGTGTATAAAATGTCAAGAGAGAGCGAGAGAGAGATTTGGAGAAATATTCAATAGGCGGTCATGACAATGACAGAGTTATGAAAGAGCGCGCGAGCGAACACGCAGTTGCGCGAGCGCGCGCATCGACATACTAGTTTAGTGAATTCCAATGGGCTGGTTCATGCAAACATTTAGAAAAACCCCATTGAGACTCTTGCAACGACACGCAAACAAGTTCTGCAAGCTTTGAAGCCAACACANCTTCTTCTTCTTCTTCTTCTTCTTCTTCTTCTTCTTCTTCTTCTTCATCATTATTATTATTACGATTATTACTATTATTTCCAAAGTGGTTCACGGCATTAGCCGGTGGCTTATTATTATTATTATTATTATTACAATTTATTTGTAAGATATCAGATTTGGCGTCGACGCGTGGTCACCACGTCTACCACCGGGTGACAGACCTTAGTAACAATATACGAGCGAGCTTATGGCATAGTTCACAACTCTCTAAGCTCTTTTTTGTTATTATAATTATCATATATGATGGCCTACTTCGCTACTCTATGTGCTCCCTCTCTTCGTCGTTAGAGATTTTCAATCTAATAAGCTACTGCGTAGTTACGCACTGGAGCCCTATGACGTCATCGGGTCATAGGCCATTTGTACATAGCTGAAAAGTTGGATCGCGCGTTCGCTCGTACGCGCTTGCCGTATACTACATAATAATATGCATGGATGTTATACAGAAGCTATTTAAAATCGTGCGTGCGTTTGTTTTTTGTACTGAACCGATCGACTATCTGCCTGTGCCTTTTGTTTTTGGGGTTTTTACGTGTGTGTATCATATTCATTGTGGGGTATTTTAGGTAGATATACAGTGTCGGTCCTTCTCCGTCAGTCGGTTAACTGCAGCTAGTCAGTTCAGTCAGTCTCGGTCATATCATTTATTTATGGATGTCTTTTTGCTCCCTGGATTTCTTAATTCTAATACAACAGAAATGCACACTCAGACATACATGTAATTAACTTGCAAAGCATATATATTGATTCCAAAAATCTATGAATATGGAAATAAATATATATGCAATGAACATGGGAAAATTGTGTACGTGTATACTTGTATAAAACCTGCAAATGTGATAATTTATAATGTAGCAAGTTTAAAAAATAGCAATAAATTAAATGCGTTTCCATTTTAGAGACAGCAGGGAATAAACATGTATCATAATTTCTTATTATTAATATCTATAAAAATCTTCAATTTAAGTACCATTTGATATTAATAATAAAAACATATGCGTAACTCCTGTTTCATGTGTAAATGGTATTTTAGCTGGCATAGTATGGACATATATTGTAATCAAAATACTAATAACTAAAATAGTATGCATTCAAACAATGTCATGTTTATTAATGAATGCTATTTAATTATTGAATGTTCGTTGCTTTATTAATTATATAATTGAGAATGAGATGTAACTGCATGTGTATGAATGATGCAATATGAAAATGGTGATGGAGACGTCAGATGTCCATGATGACAATTACAGAAACTTTTGTGAAGAAATGAGTAGGCCTAACAGACAACAAAATTGAACAAATAACATGTATTTGTTCTACATGTATAAATATATATTGAAGTTTACACACATTCTATATTGGGCAAATCTTAGTTAAATGTGATTTTATTTTAAACTTGGACAAATACAGTACGTACGGTTCCACTTGCTATCACACGCAACGGAGATACAGCGAGCGGTTTATGTACAATTGACGTTTGGCTAAAGTTCACGCCAGAATCTCGCGCATGCTCAATGCGTATAACTACGAAGTGGCTTATTAATTCAACAGAGAATAATTCATGCATATTTGCTATTAAATCTTGCTAATAAATTTAACAGAGAATAATTCGTTAATATTTGCTATTAAATCTTACCTGTTGAAATTCTCTCCGTCTTCGATCGTCTCTGGCAGATGGCAATTTCGCGTCTCTGGCAACATGGCTGCCAGCAGAGCAGCAACCACTGCCAGCGCGCCGAACAGTACCATGGGCAGCCACGCCACGTCCTTGGCCTGAAATGTACGAAACGGATGGTTATGCGCTGCAGGGCATAGAACACATCAGGTGTGTGATAATAGCGGAGTTAGGGTTAGGGTTAGGGTTAGGGTTAGAGTTAGGGTTAGGGTTAGGGTTAGGGCAAGCCATACCCTTCTACTCGTCAGCCCAGAACCGCGTATCGCCCGAACTCACCAGCAGGGTGATATATGGCGCCACCATCGCTCCGACCCGCGCACAAGCCGAATTGCTTCCAAGTCCGACATTCCGGATGGCAGTCGGGTAGATCTCACCGCTGTACAGGTAGCAGACGGCGAACGTAACCGTTAAGGCAAACTTGCCAAGGGTTGCCATGACGATGACGATGACGTTGAGATCTGCAACCATGGCAACCAGATATGGCAGCCGGTTAGCTTCTGGATTAGATGGATGCTGGTACAGTACGCAATCTATTATCTGAGACCCTTGGGACCAGACACGTCTGTCTCTCTCTCTCTCTCTCTCTCTCTCTCTCTCTCTCCTCCTCCTCTCGCTCTCGTCCGCTCTCGTCTTTCGCTCCTTGCGACTCTCTCTCGCCTGTCTCCCGTCTCTTATTCCCTCCGTGCTTTCGCTCTCCTCCTCTCTCTCTCTTCTTCTCTCAAGTTCTCTCTCTATCTCGCTCTCTCGCGCTCTTCGCTTCTCTCTCTTCTCTCGTGCTTATCATCACTCTCTCTCTCTCGTTGCTTTCTCTCCTCGCTCTCCTTCTCTGCTCTAATCTCTGCTCGTCTTTCACTAACTCTCGCTCTCTCTCTCAAGCCTATTTCTCGTCCGTCTCTCCCGTCTCCGATTCCGCTTTCTCTTTCTATGCGCGCTCGGCTCTGCTCGGCTCTCTCCTTCCGTAACTCTCGGTCGTCTCGTCGATCGATAGGCTGTCTACTTCATTCTACTCTCGAGTGCTTTTCTAGACCAGGTCTCCCTCCTCTCCTCTCATCGATTTCGTGCATCGTCCTCTCTCAATGATCTTCAGATTGCTTATCGTCCTTATCTCTCCTCTCTATCCCGCTACCCGTGACCTCCTAAAAACCACACACCCTCTTGCGCCCACACACGCAGGTAATCACGCTCTGGTATGTCTGGTATCCGGCCGCGCCAGAAGCAGCTGCGGCACCGATCCGACGAGTGTGCCCAAGCTAGCGGACAGATCTTGCGGCCGAAGTTCTGCTCATGAATGTAAACGACATATGACGTAAGCAGGTATACTCCACGACGCTGCCGAGGAGTGAAAAAGTTCAGGTAAGGGGCAGCGCGTCAAGGTTTGGTGCGGCGTTCAAGCGAAGTCCGTCTAGATGATGACACGCACGAACCTGGGCCAGAAATCGAAAGCTTGCCTGAGCGACGTTGCCGCGAGTTACACAGAAAGCGCACTGCGCTATGATGCCGCTCTGCAAGCATGAAACACACAGACGGACAGCCACAAGCAACCGAAGCCATCTGTGTCGCCCATGCACGCGTACCGGACAGGCCGCACGCACGCCACCACGCACGCACGATCGCCGCAATCACACACAATGCGCGGGAGCAATTTGGCATATCACGACATACTGTAACTTCAAACACACTGTCTGTCTTTCTCATGCCACTCGCTATCGCTATCTCATGATTTCCTCTCCTACTCTCTATCGGTCTACCTCTCTGCGTTTGCTTTTCGTACTCTCATGTCATTCAAGGTTCGGACTCCGCATCCTCTCTGTCCTTCTCCTCTCTTCTCTCTCCCCCCATTTTGATTTCCGCACTCTCGTATTCTCTCTCTCTTCTCCCTCTTCTCCCTTCTTCCTCTCTCCCCTCGTCTCTTCGTTTCCGCATCCTGCTCGTATCTCTTTCGTTACAATCGCGGCGTCAGCTTCCTCCGTCGTCCTTCTCTCGCAGGTCTCTCCGTCCCTCTCTCCTCACTCTCTTCATACATGACATAGAAAAGCCGCGAACGCAAGATACTTCGCCTACTTCTTCTTCCTCGATCCCTCTCTCTTCTGCCTCACGCACTGAAAGCATTAAGATGAGAAATTCTTCTTCTCTCATGTCACTAGTGTTCTCCACTGTAATCCCCAGTATGTTGAGCAACCTCTTTGCCTTACCCTATCGTAGCAATCATGATCTTGTTGCTTGTATCGCTAAAAACATACCAGCGATTATCAATTATGATTTATTATAACCTGTGATCGATTAATGTCTCTATTGCTTTATTTTATTTGTTCCTGTTCTTTTACTTTTTTTTGGTTACTGTTTTTTTTTTGTACCTTTCTGTCCTTTCTTTTTTTTTACTTTTCTCTTCGCTCTTTGATTTTTTTTTGACTTGCTGTTATTCTCTTATTATTCGTGTCGCCTTTTAGTTCAAATTTGCTTCTGTTGACTGTCCGAAGATCCGAATAACAAACAATCGACTTTCAAATATCGATTATGAACCATTATTGATCGATTAATTCGCTTTGCACTCTCTGTATGCACTACCAGTCGCGATAATAACATCAAGTGTCTTAGAAACAGATCTCGCAATGGCTATTTCGCGTTTAGTCGAAATATTTTTATAAATTATTAATTATTCTCACTAATTAGATACATTTTGATCTTAGTTTAGTTGTACATTTCTTACTATTTCATCTTGTATGAATTCAACTAATAATTTATCATAAGTTAAGCGTAAGCCAAGAGAAACACACGTGAACCTGTTTGTTTAGCTACGATTAATGATAATATATACATATATACTCCAACCCACAATAATCATCTTTTAGCTTCTTACCGATTACGACTACCGCGTCAGATAATTCGCCAGCCGTCAGCAGCCTCCTGTTATGACTCTGGGCGATTTCGGCAAGTAGTTTGCGACCAACTCGGCTGTCCTTCCCGTTGAACAAATAGAGTGCCATCGGTGGAGACCTGTCTTGTGCAAATTCGAATTCGCGAACGGACGCCTATGCGAGTAGATGAAATATCGGGCCATAATCAGTATTCAAGGCCTGTTTAAACGACCACTGAACCCGAAATTAGGTCCTAATAGACAGATTTTCCCTGGGGTTTGACTCCTATGTCCAGAATAGGACGCAGGCCAAACGACTCAGAAGACCACCGCTAGATGCCCGTGACCACTGAAATAATAATACTAATAATGAACAACAATTACAACAACCACCTACAACAACATACGAACAACAACAACAACCAAAACAGCTAAGCACTCACAAGAACACAGCTACGATAGCAGAGTCGCCACACACAAACGGACTTAATTGCCAACTGTAGAATGCCGGACCAGTTCCGGCAGTATTCCATTGCCATGCAGGGCAATGCGCCATGTAGCGAAGTTGGCGAAAGCACATTGCATAATGTTAGCTGACCAGGTCCGGTAACTTGGGCGTCACTAATCTCACTATCACTGCAGGCGGCGCAATGAAAAAATCAGCAAGACCATGTACGAATATTATATTATATACAGACGAATTGTAATATATATGTAATACTATATTTTCCTACATATTTAAATGACTAAATGATAATAATACCATCATCATCATCAATCATCATACATCAATCATCGTTGGGCGTCGAGTCCGTCGTCGTCGCCGTCGGTATGATGATAATTAATCGTAAAAAGCATCATTCATATAATTAGTCCCGCGATACAGAGACGTAGACGTAGAGTAGATAGAATAAGAGAGTAGAGTAGAGTTAAGAGTAGATAGAGTACATACGTTTAGAGTATTAGTAGAGTTTAGAAGTCGAGTAGAAGTAGAGTAGACGTACAGGACATACAGGTAGAGTAGCACGTAGGACAGTTCGAGTAGAGTAGATTAGAGTTAAAGTCATATAAGTAGAGCAGTAGTATATAGATACAGCTTAAGTTAGAGTAGTACTTACGGTAGACGTAGGCTGTCGTGAATGCCCCTGACGAAGTTGTGCCGACAATAAATCTCAGGATGCCGAAGATAGCGTGGACGGAGCAAGCCCGTAAGCATATGGTCGTTCCACCCACAAGGTCAGCACAATCAGCAGCTTCCTTCGCTTCCCTGACCTATACCTCGAAGGACACGCCCCGCGATAATCGCCCGTGATCGGTTAAATACAGCAACGACATGCGGATGTCTAATCACCAGAGAAACGTGTACCCGAGAACACAAGCGCCCGGGTTTCATCGAAGCGGATTAATGTATGATAAAGTACTAATGCATACTTTAACCCCTCTTGCAGTAATTATGATTAGGTAATCATACTTAAAAATCTGTTTCACGAAGCCGATTAAGTACATAGGAATTTTTAAACTAAGAGTCAGCATAATTTTGCGTCACTTAAACAATGAGGCTAGTGAAATACTCTACACTGTATTCAAAATGGCGACACTGCCAAAAGTATCTGCAAATTCGTACATGAAAAGCGAATTAATTTGGCAATTATAAGACTAAATTAGTACAGCTGAGATCTTAGATAATTAAATTCTTGCGAAAGAAATTGAAGTAAAATTTCCAATTGTAAAATCTCAAGCGATACTTATAATATACTAGAAATATTAATGTAGAACTGGGAACCTTCTAAATCGGGTATGTGCCATTGTTTATTTTCGACGCTTTCCACACCGAATTTCACTTACGCGGGAATTTTTTCCGGAGCTTTCAGCTGATTCCAAGTAATTTAATCGATCCTATGGCCCAATCCCCATCTAACATCTATGATTCATTCTAGGCCAAATGGTGAGCATCCACTGCCTTTCTGCCCGCTGTGGGCAGGGGTGACTCTCCACTTCTTGGACCTGTCCCCACATGTATCTTCCTTAGGTTTGTATCGCGGCAAACTAACAGGAAATGCTTAGGGTCTTCTGGTTCTCCCTATCATTGCACACATGCATATTTTTTCTTCCCCTAACCATTCTCCTGTTCTTTTTTATCGTGAGGCTCCCGCTCTACATGTCCAGGCAGCTTAACGCCGATTTATTATATTGTAAAAGTTTCTTGTTTAGAAAATATTTTCCCTTTATATGTCTCTTATGTGGCTTTATACCATCTCCCCTTTCCCATCTGTACTTGTGCTGCTTTTTGTCTATGATCTTTTCATCCACCGTTTGTTCCATGCTTTGCTTTTTCCCAGTCTCATACTTTATCAATAACTCCACCCGTTCTTCCGTCCCATACTTTCCCCCAGGAATTCTTACTCGATCTATTCCAATTCCCATGTAAAGTTCCTGCACTTGATAGCCTTTCCGTCTCTCCCGCTGCATTTCCTCTCTTCATGCCATCATAATTAATATCCAAATATTTTAAGTTTGTCTTCGCTCTCTCATCTTCTCCAATTGGACCATCCAAGCTCCCCCCTTATTGTTTCTATATACCCGCGTAAAGTGGGCATGACCTAACGGAGTCCCTCCAGCCTGTTTTTGGGTATTTTCAAGGATTGAAAGAGTGCCTGTTCCTTTTTTCTTTATCCTTCATATATAATTTATGTCATTTCCATAGTAACGGGAAGTACTGCTACTCGTCGTTCACACAGTTCATCCTTCCCTACCATAACTGCTGGCACAGACTATAGATGTCCTTTACTCGCACTCTCACCCTCGGTAGTTCATCACTAGTTTTCTAGTTATTGCTTTATTTTAATCTAGGTAGTGTATTCGTTAACGGTTTCTAACTTAGACTAGACACTACATAGCTAACTCGTACTAGCCAAACCACCTAAATCATATTAAGTTTTATTTAATCATGCTACGCTGAGTATAATAATATTGTGATAACTTAATCAAGGGCGGGGCCAATGGATTAAAGTGGTAAGTTCACCGCTCGTAAGAAACAGCTCACTTTGCTTATCCAATTTAAGTACGGAAGTTAATCATGATTAGTGATATTAATCCATGATTAAGGACTTCAATTACGCTTCGTGAAACCGGCCGGCAGAAATGAAGAGCATGAGATCCATGCAATAACCTCGATGAGTAGAAGCATATCTGTATAGCCATGCGTGTCGACGTCGCTGAAAATTAACATGCATGACGGATCACGCAGGTAGGTCCCACGTAGAAACACCCTATGCCACAGACCTAGCTAGATATGACCGCTAAAGCGGCGGCGCACACGTCAAGTAATTTTTGACTCAAGTAAAATTACGCTATCGTCAAATACTCGT